CCAATCGGTCCTACCCTGAGCGTGACTGAGGGTGGCATCGCAACCTCCTGATCCGCCCTGCTCTGTGCATGATGGGGCAGCGCCCCAACTCCCCAATCGGCCCTGCTCTGAGCCCCACCAGGGGCTGCACCTAGGGATTGGGCGTGCCCTCTGCCACCCGGGAGCAGGCCTAAGCCAGCAGGTCATTATCTCCCGAGGGGTCCCAGACTTCGAGAGGGCACAGGCCAGGCTGGGTGACCCCTCCTCCCCTCCTGAGTGCACAAATTTTTGTGCACCCGGCCTCTAGTTATTCATAATAGCCAAAAGGTAAAAAACAAACAAACAATCAGGTATCCACTCACAAGTGAATGGATAAACAAAATGTGGTATACACATACAATGGAATATTATTCAGTCATAAAAAGGAATGAAGTTCATAGATGGGCCTTGAAGAATTATACCAAATGAAAGACAAATATGGTATGATTTCACTTACTGAGGTTTCTATAATAGGTAAATTCAGACAGACAGAAAGACTGGAGGTTAAGAGAGACTGGGGAAGAAGGGAATGGGGAATTATTGTTTAATGGGTACAGTCTTTGGAGAGATGAAAAAGTTTTACAAACAGTGGTAATGGTTGTATAACAGTGTGAATTAATTAAAGTCACTGAGTTAAAATGGCAAATTTTTTCTTAAATGGATTTATCACAATAAAATTTTTTTTCTTTTAATCCTCACCCAAGGATTTTTTTTTATTATTATTATTGATCTGAGACAGAGAGAGAGAGAAACATGGACGTGAAACATAAACGTTTATCAGTTGCCTCCTAACCAAGGATCGAGCCTGCAGCCTAGGTATGTGTCCTGACTAGAAATCGAACCCACCACCTTTTTTGGTGTATGGGATGACGCTCCAATCAACTGACCCACCTGGCCAGGGCAATAAAAAGATTTTTAAAGGGACCTAGACACATCCTTGTGGATACCTCAGATGAAAAAGAACAAAATCCCCACCTGCACTCTTCTCTGCCTGTATATGGAGAATTTCCATTCAAGCCCCAAGGAAACCAACCCTACGCAACTTTAACAAGGTGACAAAGGTAAGCAAAGACTCACTGGGGTGACTTCTGCAGTATTTCTAATAACTTGTGAAGGTCCATTGAAAAGGAGTCAGTGAACCAGAACCCTGGCCTTCCAGGCCTTCCTCAAGTTCTCGAGCCTCTGCTGCTGCTGGAAGTGACAATGACTCTGTATTTTCCTCTCTTGCAAGTACATCAATAACAGGCATTACATGTTACCTAAGCAACCGAAAGTTTCTATCAAAACACAGTATTTATGATCTCATTCTCTTTTTAACTTACAAGTATGAGAATTATCTTTCTGTTTTTCTCTCGTGCGTCCTTATAACTAAATAGGTGTCATTCAATCTTAAACTCTGTGGACAGAATGAGTTCACTACCTGCAGAACTTTCTCCTGAACCTCAAATCCCACCCAACAATGTGGTTATTTACTTCTCCTGTTTTTTAACCAGTCTCCCCTGTATGTTTAGTGATTATGTTATTATATTGGTCTAAAGTTTTGGAGAAATGTGTTTTACATAAACAAACTGAAAAAGTAAGCAAAGGCCAGCACCTCACCCTTCCTCCAAGAATGTGAAGTGGTCAGAGGACTGGTCTTGAGGATGCTGAGAACAAGAAATTACCTGGGGGTTTTCTGCAAACTTCTTCTTGGCTATTTTCTTAAGGCTTTCCTCAATTCCCTTTTTGGATTTTGCCAGGATGTCCTCTGCCTGGTCCACCAACACTACTGTGTGGCCAGTTGCTGCAGCAACCTAAAGCAAAAAAATAATAATAATAATTTTGTTTAGAAAATAAAATATAAAAGCTAAATATAGAGGTTCATATTCCACATTCTAGTCAAAATACGAACAAATGTAATAATCTGAACAATAAAGATTTAATTAAAAAAAAAAAAAAACAACACAGCTCTCGCCAGGCGCTGTTCTAAACCCTTTATGTGAATGAAAAATGCTCAAAACCTGCCGTCTAAATCAAAGTTCCAAAGGTCACACTACAATTACCTCCTGCACTGCCCTGTACAACACCAAAGCTACAAGCAACATGTAGCTACTGAAATTAATTGAAATTAAGTAAAATTAAAGATCTAATTCTTCAGTATATGATTGTCTAACTACTATGCTATACATCTGAAACTAATACAAAATAATGAATGTAAACTGTAATTGAAAAAAATGTATTTTAATTTCAGTTCCTCAGCTGCACTAGCCATATTCTAATGCTCAATGGTCCCCCACATCCGTCCTCAGAGCCGGCACGTTCTGCACAGCTCAACGCCTGGGCTCTGCTCTTCTGCAGTCCTTGCATCACCAAGAGGTAAGACTTAAACTCTAGTAATGGTGCAAAAAGACTCTTGTCCCCAAGGGTTATTTAGTGACAAGACTCCCATTTAGGAGGGCAATTCCCCTCCATTCCCCATGCCCACTGTAGCCGAATCCTGAGGGCACTTTAGTGAAACTGCCACAAGTTTGAAAGCAACCAGCTTAGTTCAGCCACAGTCCCTATGTCATCACAGTTTGCCCATAGCTTTGGCCAAGACTGTGGAATGGTTGGTGTGGCTAAAAATAGATCTGGTCACATCAGAGGCAGGTGTTGTAAGTGAATGAGTTCAAGCCATAAGTAACAGGGCACATGTGACCTGATGCAAACATAAATGACACAAGAGTCCACACACTGAGATGCCCTCTCTGGGTGTGAGAAGCCTTGCAGAGCCATTGCTTGGGAGCTTCTGAGGAATCAAGGCTCATAGGAGAGAGGCAGGTCAGCGAGAATGAACCTGCCCGGAGATGACAGAAAAGAGAACAGCTGACCCTTGAACAACATGGGTTTAAACTTCACTGGTCCACTTACGCGTGGATTTTTTCCCATAAATACTGCAAATGTATTTTCTCTTCCTTATGATTTTCTTAATAACATTTTCTTTCCTCTATTTATTGCAAGGCCACAGTATATAACACACATACAAAATATGTGTTAATCGACTGTTTATGTTATTGGTAAGGCTGCCAGTGGGCTATTAAGATTAGTTAAGATTTGGGGAGTCAAAAGTTATACATGAATCTTTGACTGCACTTCTAACCACCACATTGTACAAGGGTCAACTGTATGTAATTCTAAACCTCCGTAAGATGTGAGATTTGTGAAACCAGGCAGCTAAAACTCAAAGAAAAAAAACAAAAAGGAAAAAAAAGAAGAAACAGAAGAACAAAACTCAAAGGCACAGAGGTGCAAATCCCAAAGACAGATTTCCAAAGAATACTTTTAAAAATGGCAAAACAGGTTTTAAATGGGCGTTAATTACAATTCTCCCCCACCCCCGCTTCTCCTCAGACAGCTGCAAGTCCATGCCTGTGGAGCCAGGAGACAGTATCCAAGCCCACCTAGGAACCAAGAGAAGGAAGTCTGCCAGGACCAGACAGTCTGATAAGCCCAGCAGGGCAAAGGGGTGAAGGGGGCATGAGTCATCTTGATAAAAGGGCAGAGGCAGTCAGTCAACTTGCCCTCTGAGCAGAAGCCCAGGCTGCAAGCAGGCAGGCAGCACCGTCAAAGTAAAACCAAGTCCAGAAAGCAAAACACCCACTGACCCAGACAACAGTTCCCCCTAAGCCAGGGGTGGGCAAACTTTTTGACTCGAGGGCCACAATGGGTTCTTAAACTGGACCGGAGGGCCGGAACAAAAGCATGGATGGAGTGTTTGTGTGAACTAATATAAATTCAAAGTAAACATCATTATATAAAAGGGTACGGTCTTTTTTTTTTTTTAGTTTTATTCATTTCAAATGGGCCGGATCCGGCCCGCGGGCCGTAGTTTGCCCAAGGCTGCCCTAAGCAATGACAGACCAAGGCCCATCTAGCCAACATCTCAATCACTGGACACAAATGTGAAAGTCCAATTCAACAAATTCAAAGTAAAAAGTGAGAGCAACTTTAGAAACTGTATAAAGACCATGTAGCAGGCCTGAGACTGTCTACGCCCTTGGCTGCATCAGGAAACTCAGACTTAGGGAGGGCTCCCACCATTCCCTGATAAGAAAGGCTTGCTGCACCTGGACTCTGCAGCGTGGTTTATGCTGAACACCTGCTTTCCTTCTGAGCTAGGAATTCTAGTACTTGCTAGGTAGAGGATGCCTATGTGACCAGCCCTAATAAAAACCCAGGGCTCTGAGTCTCTAATGCAGCGGTACTCAACCTGTGTGTCACGACCCCTTTGGCGGTCGAACGACCCTTTCACAGGGGTCGCCTAAGACCATCCTGCATATCAAATACTTACATTACAATTCATAACAGTAGCAACATTACAGTTATGAAGTAGCAATGAAAATAATTTTATGGTTGGGTCACAACATGAGGAACTGTATTTAAAGGCCAGAAGATTGAGAACCATTGCTCTAATGAGTGTGCCTGGTAGACAGCACTTCATACGTGCTGTCACAACTTGGTGCTGGAGGAATTAAGTGTGTCCTATGTGACTCCACTGGAAGAGGACTCTGGAGGCTGGGGAATGGTCACTCCAGACTTTACCCCAGTAGCCTTTCCCCTTGCTGATTTATGGCTGTAACAAATTACAGCCATAAGAGACTCTAGTCATCCCTGGGTCTCTAGTATCCATGAGAAGATTCACTCCAGGACCCGCTGTGGCTACCAAAATCCACAGATGCTCAAGTCCCTTATTAAAATGATGTAGCATTTGCATAGAACCTATGCACACCATTCAGCGTACTTTAAATCAGCGGTCGCCAACCTTTCAGACCTCACAGACCACCAGCGGTCCACGGACCACAGGTTGGCAACTGCTGCTTTAAATGATCTCTAGATTACTTGTAATGCCAAATGCAATGTAAATGCTATGCAAATAGTTGTTATACTGATCGTTTAAGGATCAACTTTCTGGAATTTTTTTTCTGAATATTTTTTATCTGAGGTTGGTTAAATCCGAGGATGCATAACCAGCAGACATGGAGGGCAGGCTGTGAGCCCTTGTAGTAAATAACCAAATCTGGGGGGGCGGTGGGGAGGGGGAGCAAAGGGATGTTGGTGGTGAACCCTGACACAGAAACTAAGAAAATAAATCTCAAATTCCAGATGGAGCTGGTGATGAAATCAACCTGCTTTGAGACAGGCACCCCTGGGGAGCAGCTGAAGAGGGGCGGGGTGACTGCCGAATGTACATCCTCTGCAAGGCTGCGGCAAGCAGGGTGCTGGCTGGCGAACCTCCTACTTTTGTTTTGGCTCCTGTGTTCTGACAGTCCCTCTGGAATGACACAAGTGACTTTCACTTTGTTCCTTTTAACCTCGAACCTAGATCATCCTAGCAAGGCCAGACATTAGTTCTCCGCTTCCCAGCTGCCTGGTCCCAGCCCATGTCCCTCACTTCCCCTGCAGCACGCATCACTCAGGCGTTTTTGCTCCTCAAGGTGTTGGGGAATAGGGGAATTCAAGCACATCTGGCACAAGATGAGACCAACACTGAAGGAAACAGAGGGGCGGGGGGGAATGAGGGCAGAGTCCTGTTACTTAGAGACATTGTGATTTCACTTAGAAAATATGAAAATCAAACTATATGGTTCCAAACATGGATTGTCAAATAAAATAAAAACTGCCACGGTGAGAATCCCATCAGGCAGCAGATCGCAGAAGGCTGGATAAGAGGAGTACACCTGGAACGGGCCAGCTTCATAAAGTACTAACCTTAAAGAGGGGGGCAGAACAAGCAAGAGAGGTGACATCGCACCGTTTTTCTAGAAAGACACTTTCAAAGTTATCATCGTCCTGTTTGATTGTGATAGTGACAGACATTTTGTTGTTGTTGTTGTTGTTGTTGTTGTTGAGGAGCCATAATACTAGCCTTATGGTTACTGGTTTTAAAGGTGTAAGCAGAACCAAACCTGGAGAGGAAGCACCCTCAAATATTCAAGTAAACCAAGAGACGTTATAGAACAATAAAATTCAACCAGGAAAAATCATGCTAAATGCTGACTTTCCACTCGTATCCGAAGTCTCTCTGATAAACTGCCCCCACCTCCCCACGAGAAGACTGGGCCGTTCTGTCACTACCTGGCTTCACCCGGGGTCTGAATGAGCACACTCCAGACAACACACATAGGTAGACACTGGCCAAAAAAACAACTATTAATTCAAGGTGACCTTCAAGAGAGCCAAGTGCAAATGTCAGATGACCATGTGAAAGTGACAGAGTATTTGAAACATTTGCTAATTTTCCCCTCTCACCCAGAAGAGGTGAAAGCAGGGGCCAAACCTAACAGAGAGAGGCGGCAGCTTTTCTTTCCCCGTTTCTGCAAAACTTCCTGGAGCCGCACGCACAGTGGAAGAAGCTGCTCTCGTGGAACTCAGCTCAATGTTTCTCCCTACCTCAAGTCACTGGAGCACTTTCTACAATTCTGGACTCTCCAAAATGTCTAAACTGGTATTTCTGGTCTAGTGAGAAAGCAACACTTGTATGCTCTAAATAGTTATCCCTGGCAGGTTTTTAAATTTTTTGTAAACCTTTTCTACTTTAGCTTTTCTTTCCTTGGTTTAGGAAAATACAAAGGAAATCTTACGGTGTAGTTATTCCAAGACATAGGGGAAAAGGACATCCCAGTTTCAACCCAAAGTGGATATGGTTGGTCTGAATGATGAAAAGACAGGAGAAAAAGAGATATTGGGTGGGGCGGGGTGGTAGGGGGGTGCGTGAAGGGAGGTAGAAGAAGGTATTGGGGGATAAATGGTGATGATGTAAGAAGATTTGAATTGG